ATATATATAATTTTATTCCCTGGCATTAGATCAAAATAGATACCCAGAAATGGGATTAGAGGGGTCAACACGTGTAGTTTGATGGGTATTATCAAATTTAACTCTATGAAGGAGGTACCAATTTTCATTTCCACCAGCAATATGAGATTTTTGCCACCCTAAGACATGATAAGGCTGTTTTCTAATTAACTATTAAAGATGGCTTTATAGTAACAGTAATCAGTGCATTTGTAGGCCTCTTTTCCAAATTTACAAAGAGCTTTCTTATCCATTATGTTAAAATAATAACTAATATTTATTGAGCATTTACAAAGTGTCAGGCATTTTGGTGGCCATTATGTTTTTTAAAAATTGGTTTTTAGAGAGAGAGGAAGGGCTAGGGATAGAGAAAAACATTGATGTGAGAGAAACATCATCAATCAGCTGCCTCCTGCATGCCCCCTACAGGAGATCGAGTCTGCAACCTGGGCATGTGCCCCAACCAGGAATCTAAACAATTGCCTCTTGGTTTATGGGTCCACGCTCAACCACTGAGCCACAAGGACCATGCTGGTGGACATTACAGAATAGAGGTTAAAAGCAGGGTAGAGTCAAACTAACTGAATCTGAAACTTAGCTCTAGCACTTACTAATTATATGAGCAAGTACTTAATGTCTATATACATATTCCCTTACTTGAAGAACTGAAAGATTATAATGTACCCATTGACAACCAAGGGTTGGATGGTTGTTGGCACCAATTCAGTCAACAGGAATCCCCCATTAGGCATGTGGTGAAGAAGGAGCTTTTATTCAGTGCAAACAGCCCAACTGTGACACAGCATGGCTGTGGAACAGCTCAGTAGCATTTCAGCGGCAGTCGGGGAAACACAGTCTTCAGTGGAAAGTGTGCTTCCACAGCCAGAGGGTCGCTAAGTTATATAGACAGAAGTCCCTGCCTCTGGTCCCTGATTGGTCTGTCCTCATGCAAATGAAGATTCCAAATCCTCGAAGTTTGATTGGGCCAAAAGGCACTGTCCTGATTGGCCAGCATGAATCAGTTCTGATTGACCGGTGAAGATGTTGATGGGGGATATAGCTGCACAGCTAGGATTGGCTCAAGTGACAGGAGCACATTGCAGGCAGGCAGTTCAGTGCTGGAGGCAGGTAGCTGAATGCAGGCTTCTCCCTGAAGTGTGGTTTGCATAAGACGCCCCAGTTTAGAAATGGCTGTTAGGCTGTGTGTGTGCGTGCGTGTGTTTAAGGAAATTTGAGCCCAGTTGGCCACCAGGAGCCCTTCTTAGTAGGAATCTTTTTTCTTAGTGTCCACACTACCTTGGTAGGCACTGTTGTAGGGGTTAAATGCTACTGCATGTGAAGTACCTAAAACACTACATGACACATGCAGACTCAATAAATGCTGTTACTGTTCTTTCTGAACATTTCCTACAAGGCAGGTTGTATTGTCCCCACTTTATACTTTCTCCATGAGTAAAAGGACATATAGAAGGATTGGGTCATAGAATTGGTAAGGGAGGAGTTAAAAAATATCTGCTTCTTCCTAGTGTCCCATTGGCCGTATAGGTTACTTGGGTTTGCAAGTATGTGCTGGGTGCTAAAGTTGCAAATTAACAACCAGCTTCAGCGGTTCTCAACCTGTGAGTCGCGACCCCTTTGGCGGTCGAACAACCCTTTCACAGGGGTCGCCTAAGACCATTCTGCATATCAGATATTTACATTACGATTCATAACAGTAGCAACAATACAGTTATGAAGTAGCAACGAAAATAATTTTATGGTTGGGTCACAACATGAGGAACTGTATTTAAAGGGCCAGAAGGTTGAGAACCACTGAACTAGCTAGTAAGGGAGGGACCATGTATGTCTATACAGGGCTGGCTTTGTGGCTGTTGTGATCTGTGAGGTTATAATGCTCTGTCTTGAAATTCTTAATGATTTTTAAGAAGGGGCCCCACATTTTTATTTCGCACTGGGTACCAAAATTATGTAGTCAGTCCTGTGGACATATGTGTTATATTTTTAGTATAACTTTCATTGATATAAAGGATGTGTAGCATACAACTTACAAATAATAAAATACACAATACTTTTAAAAATACGTTTTTATTGATTTTAGAGAGAGAGGAAGGAAGAGAGAGAGCTAGAAACATCGATTGGCTGCTTTCTGCATGCCCCCTACTGGGGATTGAGCCTGCAACCCAGGCATGAGCCTTGGCTGGGAATCTAACTGGCAACCTCTTGGTCCATGGGACGATGCTCAACCAACTGAGCCACAATGACTGAGCCACAATACTTTTTATTGTAAATTCCATATAGCCAATTGATTCTAACAGGAGTCTTTTTTTTTTTTTAATATCGTGTAGCCTCCCTATGGTTGCAGTTGACCAATGAGTATAGTTCCAACATGAATGTTGGTTGATATTTTCTTTTATGTTAATGAGTAAGGGGAAAGTGAGACCATCAAGAGATACCTTGAAATTTCGCTAGTTTGTCAATGACGTGAAGACTTCTTTGCTGAACTGGATAATCATTTTCCAATACTGGAAGAATATTTCCTCATATTTTTGCTGCTATTCACAATGTAAGGGCTATAGAGTTGACACACTTTTAAGTTTAATCTGCATGATAAACTTTTTTCAGTGATTGTAGTCTAGATGAACAAAACAATTATCAGGCATTTGCTGATTTGCATGCAATAAATATTCCCACTATGGCAGGTTCCAAACTACCAATGACTGTCACTGAATGAAAAGCTGGGAAGAGATATGAATGAGCAAGTAGCATCTTGTTATAGAGTATTTCCACAATGCAGATACAACACATGTGAACAGCCCAACCAGGGTTGCTCAGTGGTTGAGCATGGGCCCATGAGCTAAGAGGCCACTGGTTCAATTTCAGGTCAGGGCTCATGCCCAGGTTTCGGGTTTGATTCTTAGTAGGGGATGTACAGGAGACAGCCGATCCATGATGTTTCTCTCATTGATGTTTCTATATCTCTATCCTTCTCCCTTCCTCTCTCTCTAAAGTCAATAAAAACATTAAACAAAAACAAATGTGAACAACCTAAAGAGCACAAATGGTAAAATGTAGTAATGAGGAAGTAATGAGCTTAGAGTATTTGTTAATTTTATTTTAATACTAGGGACCCAGTGCACAAATTCGTGCACCTTGAAAGGAACTGTGGGCAGCGAGGCTGCAGTGGGCAGAGGAGTGGGTCTCGGCCCATCCTCTGTGCCCCTGCTTGGCTCCTCCCACCAGGGCCCCCGGTCCCCTGTCTGCTGGCAGCCCCGCTCCCATTGGCTCCTCCCGCCAGGGCCCCCGGTCCCCTGTCTGCCGGCAGCCCCGCTCCCACCACTGCCGCTCCCAAGTGCTGACAGCGCCGGCCCTGCTCACACCCGCTGATGGCACAGAGCAATTGGGGCCAGCACCAGCAGCGGTTCGAGCAAGGCCGGTGCCGTCAGAGGGTGCAAGCGGCGGCTGCTGCCCTGATTGCCCCCCAGGAACAGGGGGAGGTGAAGAAGCCCTCAGGGGCAATCTGAGCGATTGGGACCAGCTGTGGGTGCAAGTGCCAGCTCAGGTGCTGGCAGCGGGTGCGAGCAGGGCTGTTGCCTGCAGCAGGTGCAAGCGCCATCAGACTGCGGCACGTGGGAGCAAAGAACTTTCAGTAACCACCAGAGGCTCACCCGATGACAGCAACCGGCGCCCTGCCTTGATCTGGTGCCCCCACTCACCAGCTCCACCATCCCACCACAGCCGACGCCCACCATGTCCCGTGTACGCCCCCTGGTGGTCAGCACACGTCATAGTGACCAGTTGTTTGGTTGTTCTGCCGTTCGGTCTATTTGCATATTAAGGATATATATATATATATAACTGTACTAGTAACTTTGTGTAGTTTAATTTTTAATAATGGCTGTGCTTAGTGAGTGGCTCACAAAACTCCTAAAAATTTAACAACCAACTCTCCCCAGTCAGAAGGAGCTCCCGAAGCTCCCAGTTGGTGGGCAATGAGGGCCGGCAATGAAGACACCCAGCCGGCCACCTAGTCTGGTGGGAAGGGCAGTTATTCGTGTGCTAGGAGTAGGCAGGCCAGTTTACGCTATTGGAAGTTGCACAATAGAAAGTGAGAGCTTTTGCTGTCGTGATTATTATTAGAGTTAATAATTTCTTAGACACCATTTACCGTTTCAGAGCTTCAAGTTTCTCATTTGAAAAAATCGGGGATAATGATACTTTTCTTACCTCCTCAATACGCTCCCCGATTTTTGTTGGTTTTGTTCATTGCTGCCTACAATAGTGCGCCTACTGCATGGAAACAATGAGTGCGTCATATTTCGGTGCATAAAAGCTCTTGGGAAGTCGAAAAGCCACATGCATTTTGGTGGTTCGCGTGATGCTAAGCGAGGCTGCATTCAGCGGGTCTGGGAGCAGCTGCGGGGCGCACACCTGGGAGAGAAGGCTGCCCCGCCC